TCAAAGATTAATCAGTGGCAGATAATGGCCAAATGATAAAATACCTCAAATATGTTAATGATACTATGATGTCACTTTTCACGTCCTTTTCCCTCAGTTCAAGAAATTGAAAAGGTAGTATTCTTTTGCTCCATCCTTTAAAAAAGGAAAATCTCATCTCTAGTTCTTAGTCTTCCCAAACTAGACCTTTGGGGAATGTATTCTGAAAACTCTTTATCAGTGAACTTGGCTCTTGAATTCTGTCAACTCAGAATTGTCCCACACTTGGGTCACCCAAAGTCACTTCATTCTCTTGATTGCCTTAATGAACAGCTGAGTTAAGATGAAAAACACCAGTGTCCTCAGAATCAGCTAATCCACGGTGTCTCTCCCTATTGACATCCAGACCCATCCCTGACTGTTATTTGTATTTGTGCCTTGTTGCATATGAATTGGCATTCGGACTTGGAGCTTTTTCTATGTCTTGAAGATAGGAGTCCGTCTTTCCCTTGCAGAATGTGGACTCGACTTTCAACAGCAGGGGACCAGAGCCATTTGGTAGGCAGCAGGAGTTCTGTCTGGATAGCCTGGGTTCCAATCATTGCAGCCTTCCTATCTTTCATTTTCCCAGTTGAGTGCCCAGTGGCCTAATGTCTGAGGGCTCCACGGGGTGACATAAAACTCCAAACCCGAGGTGCTGCCTGGGCATTCACAATTCTACCAGGCACATCTTGAACAAGTAGGGACCTGCCCTGGAGCCCTGTGGGGAGCTCTCCTCTTCCCACTGTTTTGCACTGTGTACTCTGTTGGCACCGGCAGCTGCTTCGCTACCTCCAGTGGCTGCTTATTGGGAAAAGTTTACTTGGCACCCGTGTAATGTGGGCATGAGACCAGTCCCCAGAGCCCAGAGCAGGCTGTCTTTGTAGAATCTGGGAGTTTACAGTTTCACTTGCAAATTATTATGCTCGCCCGTGGCCATCCTGCATTTTGGGGAGACAGGCTAAAAGACGCTCTCTTCAAACCCTTTTCCGGCGCCTCGAGCGTCGTTGCTTCTCTTTGAACCCAGACCTGTCTCCCACAGCCAATTTACACCTCTTATCTGATCGTCCAGTCCAGACGGAAGGTTGAATTGACCGAGTCTGCCCGTGTCCATGGCAATGGTGTTAAAACCTAAGCACAGATCAAAGCTCTCCCGGCGAGGGGCGGGGGGGGGGGAGCGGGGGATGGTTATAGGGTCCGGGTTCTTTTGTCCCCAAGCGGTGTGTCGCGAAGGTGAGGACGTTAGGGCTGAAAGTTGCCACCACCTGAAGAAACCCATCCGGGACCTGAATGATTTTCTGAGCAAAACCCCGTCCCCCGCGGATCACGATTAACTCTAGCAAAAGGGAGTTTCAGGCCAGGCGCTGACGGGGAATGGCTAGCGCCAGGGGGCTCTCCTCGCGGTCTGAAACCGAAAGGACGGGAGGCGACGGAGGGAGCCGAGTAGCCAGCACACGCCAGTAACCCAGAGCTGAGACCCCTACCCTTCCAGAAATTCAGCCGGAGCCGCAGAGGCCGCAGCACGGATGGGCAGAATCCCCCAGACTTGGTCTGCAGAGCTGATTGGCCCCCACCCCCCAGACGATTCCCTGAGGGGCCCACTCCACACGGCCCCTTCCCCGCCCGCCCCCGGACCTCGGCTTTCCCGCTGCCCCGCGCCCCGCCGCCGGCCACCTGGGCCCTGGTGGGAGAGACTAGCGGGCAGTCAGCCCGGGCGAAGGGTGGGGCAGCCCTCTAATCCCAGCGCGCCTCGCCCGCATTAACTCGTGTTCATATTAAAAAGAAATCAATCGGTGAAAACGAAGCGTTGGCCGTGAATAGTTCTTCTCATGTGGAAGAGCAAAGAGAGAGGCGGCCGGGGAGCGGCGGCGAGAGCTCGCCGGCGACTGCAGTGGCTTCTCCCGGGGCGAGAGCCGCAGCCGCGACTTAACTTGCCGGCATGGGGCAGCGTCGAGGAAATGCCGCAGGCTTCTCCCTGGGGGTGTCCTTAGTCACGAGGAGGAGGGGACAAGATTGGAGGAGTTGGAGGCGGCCGACTTCTCCGAGGCTTCAGCCTCGCTTCTGCTTTCTCTGGGAATATTTTTTGCCTAATAGAATGTTTATGGATCGCCCAGCTCTGTTTCTGCCGCGTAGCCCAAACAAATCGATGCGGCGTTAGAGACGGCCCGGGGTGGGGGTGGGGGCTGAAGGGAGAGCTGGGGGCCTTCACGTCCCTACCACGTGGACGCCCGTGCAGCCCGCTCTTCACCTGTTCCAGCGCACCGGCGGCGCTCGGCACGCAGCGCTTCTAGAGGCCGTCCAAGGTGCGCGCATTCCTGCGGCTCAAGCTGGCTCCTTCCCGCCGCTCTCCGCCCTCCGCTCCGAAAGCCCAGCCCGGCTTCCCGCCACCCAGCTCGGCCAGCGCTTGGATCCCGGGCCCCGCCGGCCTCGGGCCCCGGCCCCTCATAGCCGATTCAGGGGCCGCGGCGAGCACGCGGCACAGAGCGGAGCGCAGGGGGCAGGAGGGGGCGCTCCGGACAGGGCTAGTCGAGCGACCCCGAGCCCCCGGGCCCCGAAGGGAGTGGGAGGCGGGCAGTCGGCTGAGCTGAAATCTGGCCAAGCGGCGTGGCTAGGAGAGGGGGAGCCTGGTGCGCGGCGCCCACGCGGCCTCCCAGCCGCCCGCCAGCCCAGGGGACTGCGCGCCGCTACCACTGGGTTATTGGCTCAATTTCTCCCCCGCGCGAACCTTCTACCCTCTCCTCCTGACTCCTTCTCGGAATCAGTTTCCGCCGCAGCCGTTGGCGGCTGGACCCGGTCCCCTCCGGGCTGGCGCACACCGGGTGAGTCAGAGGTCTAGCTCGGCCTCACCCTTTGCCACCCGCTGCCAGCTCCCGGGTGCCAGTCGGTTGCTCTGGCTGAAAGCCTGCGCAGCCCGTGGCTGGGGATCGCCTTCTCGGGCAGCTGGAGAATATAACCCCGGGCGGGTCCCAGCTGTGGGTCCCATCCTGAGGTCCCACCCCCGGTCCGAGGCTGCATGCTGCCTCGTAGTGGGTGGCCTGTCCCCGCACTCTGCGTCTCTGGGCTTCTCTGGAAGTGACGCAGCGCGGCTGGGAGTTGGGATGGGAGGGGGCTCTGCAGAGAGCGCGGGCGGCAGGTGGTAGAGTGGGAGTGGGTCCGAGCGGGGGTCGCGCACGCACGTACACACACTCCACGCAGCGCTCAGGGACAGATGTGCGAACATCTGGGGTGGGAGATGGCCCCTGAGTCTTCACGACCCCTCCCGCTCCGCACAGCGCACGGAACCTGAAGTTGTATGCGTGTGCGCGCCGGTGTGTGTGCCAGTGTGCGCGCGCTCACGCGCCGGGGCCTACCGGAGTCCGTGCCTGAATACATAATATACCGTGGGCATCCTCACGGCGCGCGCGCGCACAGACACACACTCACACGGCGAATCACACAGACATACATAATTTAGGCAGCATCTAGGTCTGTGGGAGGTAATTTAATTTCGCTTCAAGCTGGGAATTTAGAATTAAGGCAAGAGGGAATAAGGAGGCCCAGAAAATCTCCCCAAGAGGGACTTGAACGTATCCCTTTCATAGGATTTGCAGCTGCCCTGAAGACCAGTCATGGCAGAGAAGGAGCCGCAAACGTGTTGATATGGGTGGCAATGACATTCCTGAATCTTCCTCCCCCTCAAACACCCAAGCTTAAAGTGGGGTGTGTGTTTGTGCGCGCGCGCGCGCCTATGTGTGTGCGTGTGTGTGTGTGAGTGTGTGTGTGTGTGTGTGTGTGTGTGTGTGTGTGTGTGTGTGTGTGGTCTGGGAGGGGTTGAGAACCAGAGTACCAGATTCAAAGCTTTCCCTTTAGAACCTGCTAGTGATGTGCTGGGGGATGTCCAGGAGGCTGCAGGATTAGCCCTACCACTGCGACCTTCCAAGTGCCTTGGGGTAAGGGCACATTGGGAAGGTTGTTTTCTCCTCTCTTTCCCCTGTTTCCTCCATAGATGGTTTCCCATCCCCAGTCACCTGTGGCAGCAGCCTAGAGTTGTGTTGTCAGATTCCAGACACTTCTCAGAGAGAAGAGAGGCTTACCCTGGAGAGTGGTCCTAGGAAGGAAGGACAAGCCCCACTGGACTCCCTGAAACCAGAGATCCCTTTTCAGGGAACGTACCCCTTGCCACTCCCGGCAAATGCTGGCCCCAGACTGTTCGGGCCTGGCAGTGCTTATCTCTGCAGTCTGTCCACATACCGCTTTTGGCAGTGGTTGAGAACAAATTCCACTCAAAAGTTTCTAACCACTTCGCAAGAGAGACCTTCGAGGGCCATGCAGTTTGTTTTATCTAATAATAATTTTCAAAAGAACATATAATTTACTTTCCCAGAAAACACATGGATGCAGGAAAGAGCAGGGACAACCAACCGCCTTCACTGCCAGCAACACCCAACCCCAAGCCCCTATCTCAGCCGCCAGCCAACTTGCTCCACCAGCCCGAGCCCTATGATTTTGAAGCATATCCACCCATTCTGCAAAGAATCTCATCATCTGAAAACCAAAACTAGACTAGTCTTTCCCAAACCCTTCAATTAACATTGCTCAACGTAGCAAGAGGAGGGAAGGCAAATGATTTATATTTCGCTGGCTAGGTTGAAGAAACTCAAGGGAGATGTGTTCTGCTTCAAGACAGGGAAAAAAAATCCCCCAAAACTGTAATGCAAAGGCTTTGTAGTATTTTTAAACCTTTGATTCAGTCCATATGTGACATATGAACACCGCCAAATTCTGTTTCAAAACACACACACACACACTCCTAGCCGGAGAGAAAAGTTGGTTTTAGCGGCAGTGGTGCTGTAGAGAGGGTCGGCTGGGATCTCTCTTTAAATTATTGAGTATAGAGGGAGCCTCCTTCTGTGCCATTCTGCGTGACCTCCCTGCATTAGCAGTCGCATTTAAAGGGGAAACCATGTTGAAATGAACAGAAAAAAAAACTTTCAGGGGCTTACCTGGTTGGCTTCTCACTTCTTGTCCTGAAAAGGAGAGAGCTAAGAAAACCCAGGTGAGAGGAAGCATATCCATTTTGGAGGAGTCTTTCTCCAGAGCTGGGTTTGTAGGTTTCTTGTATAATTATAAGTCTTTGTGTTTCCTCTCTCTCTTATTTTCTTCCTTACAATGTCTTCTGCAAAGGTTTCTAATGGTCAGTGTGTCCCTCCTGGGTCTTGGCGGCCCGTCTTTACCTTTATTCTTGCTGGAATCCCCACCTCGCCAGGAGGAGGGTAGCTCCTGAAATCAGCAAAGCAGGAGCCAGCCAGGAAGAGGGGACGGGTCTCCTCTCAAAAACAAAACACATCTATGTTCTCTCCAGTTCCTCAAAGTGTCATTTCCTTTATCCTACAACATCACGAATATTTCCCGAAAGCCAAGCGGAAAAAGAACAGTAAGACAAATAAAAGCCGAGACTTGCCTTGGGTATCCCACGGCCCCGAGGCAGCTGTGTGATCTCAGAGGCGCAAACTGACACACGTCCCCCGGCACCCGGGACGGACACGCGGCGCAGGCACCGAACGCCGGACGGCCCGAGTGGGAGGCGGCCGCCCTGCTCTTGTCCTCGCCGGGTTCCCCTAGCGGGAGCCTCCCCCAACGGCTACACCCGCTTGGCCAGCCTCTCGAGGGGAGTCTGAGGAAGGAAGCTGCTGCTGCTGCTGCTGCTGCTGCTGGTGCGGCGGCTGGGATCGCCTGGGAGCGAGCGAGCCCCTCTCCGAGTTGGCGGGCGCCCGCCCTCACCTCCACCTCGCCCGGCGCCTCGCCGAGTGTCTGCGCGTCCGAGGCTGTGCTGGGGCGGGCTGCGGGCGGGTGCGTCGCTCGCCTTCTCTGCCTCCCCTCTGGCTCCCCGCTGCCTTTTCAGGCCGAGCAGCATGTGGATGTCAGAGCCGCGGCACAGCTATCCGATTACGCGCCGGCTCAGGGCCCGCCCCTTCTGTGTTCCTGATTAAAGAGGCAGCCGCGGAGACGCGCGGCGCAGAGCCCAGTGCCGCGGCACCCGGCTCGGGCGGGGCGCGGCGGCTTCCCTGGGGCCGCCGCCGGATCCAAGTGCAGGCAGCTCCTAGCCGCCCCTCTCCCGCTCCGCACCGCCCCCCAGCCTGCCCGGAGCGCCACTGTGGCCGGCCGCCTGGGCGTGACGCCCCCGGG